GACTCCCTGCCTGGTGCTGGGAAGCATGAAGTGCAATAAGTCATGTACTGCCTCTGCCAGCTCTCTCCTTTCTCCAGCCTTGCATCTCGCTTGCTCTGATGGTCCCGTTCCGCATCCCTTCTCCAGGCTGCTGAAAGTGGTTGACACGGAGGTCAAGCACGGTGGACACGGAGGTCAAGCTGTCGAAGCAGCGGGACAGGAGGGAAATGGCGTTTGCTGCTTTGAGGTGGCATTGGACGTTTGGGAGGGCTGCTGACTGCAAGAGATTGAATGAATTTGGTTTGATAGGTTAGTGAACGTGTCTCTCTAACATGCTAGCTGAGATACTAACCAGCTTTCTGGAATTAGATCACTTTCAGAAAGGTTACCCAGGCCAGGTTTGCCGAATATGAAAGATCATGACATGATCTTGGACTCGTGCACGCTGGTCAGTTACACAGTGTGTTACACAGTGTAAATGCTGGTGGAATGATTTCTGGTTTTGATAAGTGCTTCCATCCCCTCTGCAGAGGGTCTTGCTATAGTGTTCAGTACAATGTTTATATGAACTGCTAGTAAAGGATAAATAAATACTGTGCAGTCAAGTTTACTCTGGGGGAGCAGAAAGATGTATTTAAAGTGTATTAGCAATATTTGCTTAACATTTATCTGTACTACATAGCATTTGCTTTAAATCAACAGAAAGCCTTAAAAGAGATAAGTTTTCATATGAACAGTATCAGAATTTTTCTCTCCTTGTAGCACTGCTGGAGGCTTGGCCTGGGGTGGTCTTCACCTCCTCCTCCGCTCACCAGCGGCTGTGGGCAGCGATGGCAAAGCCTAAGCACGTGGCTGCTGCGCTGGTTTCATCTCCTCGGACCCTGGGCAGTACCATGAAGGTTTTGGAAGTCAGGTTGCATGGGGAGTAGGAGCAAAGGAGACATTTGGGCTCCTTGAAGTTCCTTGGAGGTTTGCTGGGCTTTGTTGCGTCCTCTCGGGCTGTGCTGCTGGGGAGGCTGCCCGTGCACAGCTGGGAGTCTTGCTAGAGCCTGCCGAGTTTCACAGGTAGAGGCAGTGCTCACTCTCTAGTAGTAAATACAAGGTGGTTTTTGGCTCTCTTTCAGCAACTGTAATATTCTGCTCATGCTCCAGGGTGGATTTCGTACAGGAATTCCTTCCTAGGTGCTGTGAGAGGATGAGCTGCACTATGGGTCACCTCTGCAGCAAAGCTGTCTTTTCGAGCCTTTGAGCTAACGGCTGAGTGACACTTGTAGGCAAGCTAATATCCTGCCGCTGTGGTGTTTGTGGCGCTGCGTTGGACTGTGCTGAAAATAGTTCAGAAAACTCACAAATTTTTGATCCTTGTGTTCAGTTAACCTGCAGCTCAGAGGGCTGGTGACGGTGGGGTTTTCTCTGGAGCAGGGAATGTGTGGGAGCTCCTCCGGGAGGAGGTGTGTGCTGCACCTCTGCAGCAGCTGCTTTGGCTTGCCAAGGGTTTGAGCTCCCCAGCCATTTGCCGTGCGGTTTTCTTCTGTGGGGGCAGAGGATGCCATTGAGACCAGTAAGCTGAAAGCAAGAGAAAATGATGGAACTTGAATTCTTGATCAAAACCATCATTTTGTACTGAGATAGTTTTCTGTGTTAACGGGGGCTTTACTTAAATTTTACACTGAATGAGTCTCTGCCAATATGAAAATACAATGCTAATTGTAGCTCCGAGTCTTTCTTTGTCAATTAAGCTATTTTGTTTGCTTAAGTAATTTTAAAAGTTGCTGCCAATTTGTTACTGTTTTGCTCCTTGCATGTCTTGCAAAGATAAAGTCTATGTATCAGTAGCACCATCTTAAATGGATGAATGATGAATGATGTGTCGTTCTGAGTTGCTGCTGTATGGTGCCCATTAAGAGAGCCTTCTTGTTATGATTTTAGCTGTAAGAGCTACCATGTGAACTTAGTGGTTCAGGCACATAAATGAGAACGGTATAACGTTCCCTGAATAAAGATTCACTCAAATTGCCAAAGTCATGCTTTTCAAGAACTTTGTGAACTTAAAGCACTTTAAAGAAATATTCTGGGTTCACAGCATTGGAAAGCTGATGGCTTTTCTTAAAAAATACATTGGCTACTGTTATCAGTCAGCATTTGCCAACAGTTTCCGCAGGAGATGCCAGTTTGGAGTGGAAACTAAGGAACAGATTCAGCGAAGCACTTTATCCTGTTCTTGGCTTTAAGCACATGAATAATCCCATTGACTACCCACGTGTGCTTTACTGGAACTGCTCACATGGTGGAAGTCAGGCATGTGTGCGAATAACTCGCTGCTTTGGGGTCTCACTCGTGGTGTCTGCTGGCAGAGCCGTGCTTCCCTTCGGGCAGCGCCGTAAGAGCCATCGCAGGTAGCGCGGGCCGGGGCAGCAGCACCCTGTGCTTGGAGGGCACCTCTGCGTCCGCGCCGCGCTGGCAGCCGCTCCTCTGGCCGCTGCCAATCGAGCTGGGGGGTTTTTGGCACTTACCCGCTCCAACTGGCTGCTTATACAAGTGTTGAATTGCCTTTGTAAGGCAGAGAGCAGCCTTTTCCTTGTTTAAGTCTGTATATGTGGTTGCTAAAACATGAAAAACGTAGATCATTTTCAGAGCTTTCCTCATTTTGTTTGAGTTGCGTTCTCTTTAACTTCATCACTCGTCTTGCCGAAGCTGATAGCGATACCGGCAATATCGGAGCTCTGAGCTCAGTCCTTAGAGGTGCTAAAAGGAATTTTTTTCAAGCACTGAATATTTAGTGAAGTGCTGTGATCTGTGTTTCTCTTCCGTGCTCTTGGGTACCGAGGGGAGCATTTGGTCTCTGGGGCAGCCGGTGTCCCCGAGGACCCTGACCAGCAGTGACTTTCCTCAGCTCCAGCACGCTCTGCACTGCAGGTTTCTGCTCCTTGTTCCTCAAGGAACAAGATCTCTTCCCTCAGCAACTTAGCAGGACCATGGCCTCTAGGTAAAAGCCATTTGAGCTGTTATGGCCAGGTGCAGGTTAGTAGAAGTTAAAGCGAATTCTTGCCAGTGGTGTTAAGCTCTTGTTTATCCTTTGTGAGGAACTTCAGTGCTGCAGCTGAGGACATTCAAACAAAAGGCTCTTAATAAGGATTGAAAGGTGAAAGGAACTCAGTTTTCTCAGTGTGTTCAATAAGCCTGGCTCTCAGAGCTCGGTTATCTTCAGGAACACGTGCCAAAGAATATTCTTGAATGTATAATCATCTCAAATAGAGCGCTCTCTTGCTGGAGATGTGTTTGGGAGAGCAGATGGGCTAACATGGAATATGAGCTAGAGCCAGATGAAAAAGATGGGCTTCTTCCCTAGCTTTGGAGACGTGAGCGCTGGCGTGAATGGCGTGGAGGCCCCCCAGTAACATTACGACAGTCAATAACTCCATGCGTGAGCTAGGAAAGCAACCGTTATTTTCACAGACTGTTACTGTTTATGCCTTGAATACACTTAAACTGCTATGGAGGAGTGTATTGTTTTAACAGGCTTTCAGTTTGCTAATGATAACATATTTATGAAATTAAACAGGAAGTTTATTGCCAAGAAACTGTCAAGCATTTTCAACGGAAAACTGAAATCCATAAAAACCCATATGAAAACCTTGTAAAATCCAAATAGTTGGATTCTTCCCTTGTGTATAAATAAAATGTTTAATAGGCACTTTGCTCACCTAAACTGCAGGACTGAAAAGCAAGGATCTGAGCTGGATTCCAGCTCTTCTGCAGCCTCCTTGCATGGTTCTGGGCAATCGCTTAGCCTCACTTTCTTGGCAGCCTGGCCCCCTAATGTCCCCCCGCCTCTCAAACGGGAAGGAGAAGCTGCAAAACAAGTTAAGAATCTCCCATCAAAAGCCAGAGCATAAGGCTTGGTTTTGATAAAAGTAATCTGGAGTCATCGCACATATGTCTTGTAACTGCTGATTTATAAGCGTCGGGTTACGAAGCTGTACTAACTGCACAGAGCACAGCTTGCTGAAAGCGCTGCATTTGTCTGCTTCTTAACTGTGGGCTTTTACCCCACCAATGCATAGTAACAAATGAAAATGTTCAGTTTCTAAAGTCAAGATCAGCTCAAAGAAACCCCTAAATGTTGGGATGTTTCTCACTTGACTTGATTTCACAAAACCAATTTGGAAATTTTTCAAGGGCTGGATTTCTTCGCTCAAGCAAACATTGAAAAAATTTTCATTAACAACCTCCCTGCTCGCTTTGCTTTCTAGACCCTTTTCTATCCAGTCCCGGGGGATTCTTTTTCTTTGTTTTAACAAGTGGCAAGTTTTTAACAGCACCTCTCTGTAGTGGTACCTCACTACGTACCCGTAGTGGTCCCTGCACTGGGGACCAGAGGAGCTGTTCCTCACAAAGGGACAGGAGGAGGCTGAAGGCCAAGCGAGGAGGCAGGTTGCTCGCTGGGAAGGGCAGATTCCACCAAGGCCAGTGAGATAAGATTTAAGTAGAGAGAAAAGAAAAAGAGGGATGGATGAAACTGCCTTCTTTAAAATGGTCACTGATGAAAGAAGGAAGACTACTCTTCCCTCCCCTCCCACCAGCTTTTTCCCTCCCCTCCCACCAGCTTTCTCCCTCTGTGTTGTCTTTAACAGAGAAAGGAGGCTTGTGAGCAGTTTTTATATGTCTGGGATTTGGAATGAAGGGAGGTTGAATTTAGAGCTTTTTTGGAAGGCATGTGAATTCTGATGTTAAACCCTAGATGAGTATGAAAGCTTTCTTCCTCCCATCCCTGCTCTAAAATGCTTGAACCATGTCTTTCTGTGTGTGCAAATCTGGTTTAATTAAAAACAGTTTTCTTGTTGATAGTATTAATAATGGATCTTCACCTTCTGAAGTTATAAAACGTGATGAAGTGTGTTACCTTTCCCTGGAAATTTCCAAGGCACTCTGAATAGCAAATGAAACACATTGGAACAAATGCAATTGCTAATTTTTTGTCCCCTAGAACCCAAGTTAATTGCTTTTCTTTCTCCGTTTAGCACTTTCAGACCATGTTAAAAACAAAGCTGAATGTTTTAACTCTCCGGAAGGAGCCTCTCCCGACCGTGATCTTCCACGAACCAGAAGCTATTGAGCTGTGCACCACAACTCCGCTCATGAAGACCCGGGCTCACACTGGATGCAAGGTACTTGGGAGGAAATGTTCAAGGGGCAAGACCACTGCAGAGGTGTCCCATGTGTGTACGAGGGATCCGAAGAGCTCCAATTAACGTTGTGGTTGTTGCTGTGGAAATCCCATTAACTATTAGCTTTACGGTCTGCAAATCAAAAAGGTCATTGGGGTTTAGAATTTAAGTTCTGGGTTGTCAGCACCACCAGTTCTGGTGTGTGGTGCAATGCAAATTACAGAGGGTTTATAATTACTTGCACTTAATGTCACTGATGGTAAACACAGCCTTTGCTTTCTGTGAGTGTCAGTATTGAGATGGGAGCTGAAGGACCAAATGTTCATAGTGCTTATACAGCCATGCTAAGTGAGATACAGTCCTACAGAAATGGGGTTGCAGCCCGATACTGGAGGATGGTTGTTTAAGAAGGCAACAGTTGGGCCTTGAATTAGTTGTGCAGCCAGATGAATTTACCCACTTACATCAAAGCACAGTTTCTGAACAAGCTTTACTTCTTTAAGGTGTAGCAGCTGAAGTGCTTCAAGTGTGCTCTTCTGTGGGAAGAAACTTTATCAAAAAAGCGGCTAACAAATGTGCTCCATGTGCATGTCCTGATGGAGCCATTCTGTTGTTAGAGAGAGTCTGATCTTGGGGTTGGAAGAAATCGCTTCATGTTTTGTTCTTTTTTCCCTGATGCCTTTCCTGGCCTAGTGTCTGCACTATGAGAGTCATGTGTGAATGTGGGAAGTGAATTGCCCTGGCACCTCCAGGGCCAGCACTTTATCTGCAAAGTTTCTCACTGGGAAGTGTCATTTTTTTGTTTGACTCTTACCTGCTGAAATAACCAAGAAAGGAGCGTGTTCTTTGGTGCTGAGCCCTGCTGCTCAGTGGCCCTACTGTGCCTGGTGCATTAACTCATAGCATCTGCTCTTCCGTACTGATGTCTTTTGTCCTCTATGTTGACAGGTAATGAATTTTTAGAGAATATTTGCTATCATAAATATGATCACAAAGTATTTGCCTTCCACCCCTGGTGTGAGGAGTTCAGACGTAATAACGCTTTCTGAAGTCAGAATGTGTGTGTAGAATTTAAATGAGCATTTTTATTCAACCTGTGCTTCCTCAACTGGAAAAGATGGATTGCAAAGAGATGCTCAACTCCCCAATGCAGAGAATTTTGCTCTATATTTAGTTTTTTGTTTTTTGTTTTTTTTTCTCCTTGCAAAAAAGGCCGGTGGTTATGACTAGGGAGCTCTTATTTTGCCCAGTTTCTTTATTCCCAATCTATTTTTTATGTTTTTCTTTCCTGACTGAATGTATTCCTCTTGTAGTGGGCTTGTATCCTCCAGCTGTTTCTAAGTAATTAGCCTGCCTTGCCTCTCTCCCCACCAATTATTAGTTTCTTGCTGAGTGATACTCTGTGTTGCCATTACAAAGCCAATATTTTGTAGTAAGAGTTTTCTCTCTATGTGGTCTGATCTATCATAACTATTCCAGGTTGTAAGTGGGGAAAATGCTGTGGTGTGTACAGCGTTAACTCTCATGAGAAATGGCTTTTTAAGCAAGAGCGCTGCATTGGGTTTTTACTTTCTTTCATGAGTCATACTCTTTTGATCCTTAATCGTTTTATTCCTCCTCACTGAAATCCCTCCAATTTTTCTATGTAATCCCATTAATGAGATAGCATCATTCTTCTCACACAGCTCCAGACATCTCATTTTATTGCAGTTTTAACATAAGCTGGCATCATCATGTTATGGGAACTTGACATATGCAATTGCTTTGCTGCTCAGAGGTCTGGGCATTGACTTTCTTGGGAGATTGCTCTTTTCCTTGTCCTTTCATCACAAGACCAGCTTCTTTTTGCCATTTGGCTTTTGCTGTTGAATCTTGAAGCAACAAACTCTTCAGCTGAGATCCAGGCTCATTTTATAATTTTATGTGATGGTTTTAGCTGAAAAATAGCTGAAAAATCTTTTACTTGAGGAAGTCTGCAGGGAACCCCTGCAAAGCTTGCAAAATTAAGTAACTGAGCAAATTTCTCTTCCCTGCTCAATTCCAGAACTAATGTTGCTTTGTTGTCATCGTGTTTCCTGAAATATAATTTGACTTGCAGCAGAAGGCTCAGGACTGGTTCCCCCTTCTCAGCACATCCACCCCTGTGTGCTCTTGCTGGCTGAGCCTTTTCCCACTCTCTGGATTCTTTGGCGTGATTTTGCTCGGCAGGAAGGAAGAGGAAGTATTTGCCCAGAGTTGCTGGGCAGAGCGATTGTCACGGGTGCCTGGGTGGTCCCAAGGCTGGCAATAAGATTAAGTCTTTCCTCCCACCCAGCCAGACAACACTTTAAATTGCAGGTTTGTAATTTGCCCTTTCTAAATAGAGGATTTCTGTGTATACTGGCATGTAGATGTGTGTATAAAGAACTGTGTCTTTCCTCATTTGGAGCCAAAGGATTTGGATATGACGGTAGTTATGTTACTTGTGGCTCTCTCGCATCAAACACGGTGCACTCGTGTTTCAGCTGGAAACTGATGTTATCGTAGCACTAAGTACAGACAGATGGAAACTGAAAATCTGGAACATCTCCAGAAAATGGGTTGCTGTCTACCCAGAAATGTGTGCTTTCTCTGGACCTTTTAACAGATTTGTTTAAGTTCTGAGTATTTCATTCTTCACTAATGTCCTAATGAGCTTACACTGACTCTAATGTTTCCTGACTTCTGTCCCTTGAACCTACAGAGGTGGTGTGAAGAGAAAGGGCTAAATTGAGTGTGTGTCTGCTGCTGCTGCTGCATTTCCACACACACTTGCTGTAACACAAAAGGACAGAGGTTAAAAACATTGAAGAGCCTTGTAATTTAATAAAAATGCTAAACCTATGACACCACTTCAAAAGTTGCGGGCAAAGTGAAGTCAGTAGTGAAGAGTCAGTAACCCGACTCAGGACTGCTTTCCTTCAGATGTTGTCACCCACCTGGGTGAGGTGATCTTGTTCTTCCCATTTCCACCACTGCATAAGCTGTGCTCATCCACATGGGAGGCCACGATTACAGAAACATCAGCAGTCCAAGTAATTCTGTTCTTAAGAATATGCTTTTATTAAGTGGCAAAACATATTTTTGTAACATGGTATTTGCAGGCATGGAACTCAGTTTTCCTGTCTTACTGTATTCTTTGGATAAGATTATTAATTGAGGCTTTGCTGAAGGTATGATATTGAGATTTCTGCACTAACTTAGTTTTAAATAAGAAGATAAAATAATACTTTAGCATAAGGCTGAGAAAAGTTGTCTTTAATGTCTTGCAAACATGGCATTAGAGCATTATCGGCATTTTAAAAATCAAATAATTCACATATTGATGCAGATTTAAAAAACAGCCAAGAATTAATAAAAAGAAATAAACCTTATCTTTTAGAATAGCTTAAATGATCACTCTCAAGGCAGAAGGAGCAATGGCTGCACTGTCTGCCACGTGGTGACGGTTGCTGTTGGTTTTATTCTGCGTCCGTGCCACAGAAGGTGACAGGTCTACAGTATTATGGGGGGAACATCTGCTGTCTGGGAGCCTGGGGAGTGTTTTCCCTTCCCCTTTCTGCTAAATTTTTCTCCAAACGCTCTTTTCAGGACGAGAGTCCGTATATGCCATGCCATTAACTGCAGGCCCTGCTGATAAATCTTAGCACATGTGAAACCGTTATTTGTGCAGTATAATTTCCATCATGAGGCAGAGGCTTGAATTTAGTCTACAACGTAAACAGTTATAACAAATATATAGGATTAATAGTGAGCCGTGGATAATGATCTGATGATATTCCTTAGAAATAAGATGTTGCTCTTTGGGATAATGATTAAATAAATAATATATTGTTTTGACATTGCTCTGCTAGACCTGCTTTTGTGTAAGAGAGTCATTTAGGAATAGTACTTGCTCAGATATTGCTGCTTATTTCTGGTTTTCTGCCTTGTTAGTTTTGATTGCAAAGACCTTGGGGCAGGACTCTGTGTCACCACATGCTTGCAAAATTCTGTGTGCTGCAGGTTGGGCTTGGTGTGTTTTGCCAGTGAATGTGTCAAATCTGATACAAACAAAACCTTCCTGGGTATTTTGATACCCAGAGACCAGGTTGCTCTGTTTTCTTTGTACAGTCCTGGTGGCTCCCAAGGGCTGAAAACGTGGGGAAAGCCAGCGCCACAGGTGGGAACAGAGTGCTTGGCAATTCCTTGTTTGGGAAGGGGCTTGTTGGGAGCTGTCACGGGCTGAGGGAGGGCGCTTGAGGGCAGCGATGGACAGTGTGAGCAGTTGGAGCTGGTCATGGCCTCCGATACCTATTGACTGGCCAGCAGGACACGGCCAGTGGGACCAGCAGGACACGGCTGGAGCCTCTTGGGCTCCTTCCTGATAGGCAGAAGCAGCTCCTCCACTGTGAAGCAGGTTTTATGGATGTTATGCACATTATAGATCTGCTCAGTATGAAATCATGTGTTAGGAGACTTTTGAGCATGCCTTTGTTTTTTGGTTTCCCTAGTGTTTAATGATCTACTGTTTTATTTAAACTTCCTCAGGTAATTTAAGTATACTACACCTCTTAAACATTTATTGCTGATTCGGCTACTCGAACCACAACAGGTTAGAAGCTGCATTTGTTCTTAAAACCACCCACTTTATCCTAATAAAGCTTAATAAAAATGTTCTCTTTGCAGCTATAGTGTGGTCAAGAACGATTCTCTGGAGTGCAGTGTTATCCAGCTGTAAATATAAGTCAGCTAGTTGGAAGGTCTTAGTCCTTTTGTAAGCTTGTAACTTTAAGGTGACTATTAACGTAATAAAGAAAGAAAATTAAGCAAATGAAACAAAGTCAACTAACATCACTCCCCAGCTGGTTATTTTCTACCATGCTTCATTTGAATGTGGAGCTCAGAGCTTATTTTCTTGCTTTTTTAAAGGCCTTCTGTTATTATGCTTAAGCATTATATATTTTCTCTCTGAAGCGAGAGCATTATTTTTGTAGTCTGTT